TTGAACTCGCCTAACCCACAATTTCTTGCAAACAGTTTTGGTTTGTCACTATCTGCTACATTAGAATATCTAAGTGACATATTTTTCAAGTCATTTTTTAAATTTGTCTGCCCTCTAAACCCAAACAAAAAATTTGTTTGAAGAGCATATAATTTTTAACTGCTACTTGAGTAAACGATTTTAAGTATGCCAACTCGGTCAAAAACTGGTTTGTCGGACCCAGTCCGCTTTCCTCGCCTCGCCCATCGACCTTTGTCAATTGTCTTGCAGAAATATACCGCTTATAACCGAGGCAGGATCATCACCGTGCACATATATATGTAGTAAGTACTGCGGGAGCGGTGAAAACTATATTTTTTCTATAAAGCGCATACATCTTTTAAACAGATATTAGGTCAGAATTTTGAATCGGTCTTGAGGATAGACCACATCCTGCGTCATTGTCCGCGTTGGGTCAGTCAAAGATTAGTAAATTTCAATACACCTACATATAGTCGAACGCTTTAGCTATGAGAATACGCTCAGTAAAAATGTATCATTAATTAGAAAAGCTCTTCTAGGTTTCTGGATCACTTAGCCTACTCTATACCCAATTTTCAGCTACCTCATTGCAGTGGAACTAAAAAATGATAATTTAAGGCCCTCAAAATTGACCTCCTCCCAAATCAGCTGACCTCTAAAGGAATCAGTTAATTCTCACCTCTCAATTCGCTCGCTTTCAATACACGCTCTTTGCTTCGAACACCCACCCACAACATTTTTGAGCTGAAAATTATTGCTCACAACCCACAGTAGCATACTTTGGGCGTTAGCGGCTGCCTCAACGAGTTCAGGTCAACTAGATTGTTGTGCTAGTGGAATGTGGCCAACACAAAAACAATAACAAATATAGAGCAAAAGCCCACGCAACAACAACAACAACAACAACAACAACAACAACAACAACAACAACCAAAAGTTCAGCAACAAAAGCAAAACTGAGGCCAACTGAGGCTACTAGCTGGTTTTAAATACATACAAACAAATTGATATTTGTAGGTGTGTATATTAAGAGTGGAATGCCGCTTTAGCTTTTCCTGCTGCCAACGCCACTGTCGTTGCTGGCTATTGTTGTTACTGCTGCTGCTGCTGCTGCTGGTATACATAGTTGCCGTTGCCACTGTCGTTGTCGTTGTCGTTGTCGCTACAGCCAGCATTCGTGTTGGATTTGGGTGTTGCAGTTGGTTTTGTATAGTCATTACAATTTTTGGAGGTGGTGGCCCTNAAAAATGAAAACTGAAACAAAAACACTAAATGGAATACAAATTGTAAGAAGTAATCTGTGCGAAGACAGAGCAGAAAATCACTGAATATTCAGTTGCAATAGCAACAAATTTAGATCAAAGTCACAGTATCCAATGGTGGAGGAGAAGTGGCCTCATTACCCAATGGTACACAATGTTGCACAATGTTGCTCAATGTGAGAGGTGGAATTTTAAGTTTTCTTTAAATTTTGTTAATTGCAATGGAAGCGGCGTTTTAAGGGAAAAACAGATCGTTTTTGCAAACGAACGTTTTCAGCAACATAAAGCTGTGGATCTTAATGAAAAAAAAAGTCTCGTAACTTTCCAAATCTAAGAAGAAAGTTACGAGTTTAGGCCACACGCTGTTTAGAGAACATAGCAGCATTACTTCAACACCAAAGTCGACAGCAATCCACGCATCACCTGGAGGTAATCCATGCTGCGCGAGCGCGAACCATCAGCACGATCTAAGTGCGCATAAAAAACTGCGCTAATCCAGGTTCAGCAGAAACTCTATGCCCTCAATAGAAACGTAAATGGGACACAGAACTTTTAATAAATATTTTAATTTTTTTTTAAGTTACTTTTTTTGTTTTCGAGGGAATTTTTATGTAAAGAAAGTTTAGGTTATTTTAGGCTTTCTGATCTGCTTTCCGACCAGCAGAGAGGCTGGGCTCACCTCTTAGACAACGAAATCTGCCCTGGTATCGATTCCAGTGCGACCAGAAAGTATCAAGATGTGACTGAAGGGCAGGGCAGTTATTTCTTTTACTTATTTTTGGAGTAGCAAGCACCGCCCAACCGTTCGAATACATACTTGTTTAAGATCAAGTTTTCCAAATTTTTTTTTGGGTGAAGTTAGGTTTTATTTTAAAAGGGTTTTTAAGTTGAAGTTATTTTAAGTTTTTTTTTTTTTCTTTTAATCAGCAATTTTATTGAGCTTGAGGCCTTTTTTATTTTTGTTTTCTTATGATAAGTTCTCTTAAATTTAATTTGTAAACTAAGGAATGTTTTCTCAAGTATGTTTTAAAATTTATCTGCTCTTTAAACACAAATTTTATTCTGAGAAAATGTGTTTGAAGAGTAGCTAAATTTTAAAACTTACTTGAAAAAATGGTACTAAGTGTGTAAAATGTTTTAAGGGTTAAGTTTCATAAATTGTTTTGACGCCAAATTTGTTTTATTTAGCTTTTTTAATTTAAAATAAAAAATAACTAAATTTTCTCACTTTACTTATATTTTTTTTAAATAAATGTGTTAATTATACTGTTTTTTAATTCTATATTTTTAACTTTTTTATATTAATTTCTTTTAATTATAATCTTTTTAAAAATACTTTTTTATTATAAATCTGTTTAACTATAATTTTGTAATTAACATTTTTTTTCACTATAAGTTTTTTAATTAAAATGTGTTTAAGGTAAAGTTTCTTAAATTGTTTGACGGAAAATTTGTACAAACTAATCATTTTAAATTTAAACTCAAGAATTCTGATTTTAATTGCTTCATTTAAGATTCTTTTTTTGTGTACCATTTTTTGTAATTTTTTATTTAATTTTTTTATTTTAATTTCTTTATTTTAATTTCTTTTTCTAATTTTTTGTTATATTTTTTTAAATGTTTTAATTTATTTTTTTTTATTGTAATTTTTTAAATATTGTTTTTTTAATTATACACTTTTTAAAACTATATTTTTTTAATTATAATTTTTTTTAATTGTGTATTTTTTATTACAGTTTTTTTTTTTAATTTCACTTTTCTAACTATAATTTTATTAAGTGATTTTTTTTTAATTCTCTTTAATTACATATAATTTTTTAATGGCAATTTTTAAATTATATTTGTGTTAATTGTAATTTTTCGGTTTTAGTTTGTTTAGTTACACTTTTAGTTACACTTTTTGTTATAGTTTTTTTTTTTTGTTTAATTTGAATTAGATTTTTTCGTTATTTTCCGTTTAATTTATATTAGTTTTCTTAGCTAAGGATTTTTTTTTTTTTAATTTGTATTTTCTGCACGATTTCATTCTTTTTAATTTTAGCCTATAGGTTTTTTTGGGAACCGCAGTTTACGTATAGGATCACGGGCGATTTAAGTGCATTGTTTATGCTAGGAAATAAGGCTTTGGAAATGTTTCGTTGCAAGCTATGTATTAAGCTGGACACCGTGGAAAAGTAGGGCCTACCCCTTAGCCTACGAGCAAGTGTCTGGCTTTCTACCCAAGTCTCCGCGCAGGAGGAGATTCAGGAAATCCTCAGTTATTATAAAACAAACTCTGCGCAGCACGGCTGGAGGATTTGAGAAAGACCTGAGAAGGTTAGGCAACCCCATCGTAAGAAGCTCATATTACCTAATGCAGAGCCACTTTGCCCCTTCATCGATACCAACGTGGTCATCAACTATAGCTTAGAAAAACTATTCTTCAGAGTTTTGCAAAGAGATTCCAGAAAATAATAAGGAAGAATGAAGAAGGAAAATAAGGAAGAAATCCGTGCACGGATTTTGGAGATAGCCGAGTTGATGAGCGCGCAAAGTTGCCGTGGGACTACAATTCCTGGGTGATGATTTTCCGGCAAATTAACTTTCAACACACCAAAGCGGTATCTACCAGCAAAATACCCTGTTTACCTTGAAATCCCTGAAGCAGTCGTAATACTAATCCAGAAGCTGTGACTAAGTAGTAGCGGTATCTGCGGAATCAAGCTGAAGGATTTCATATCTGAATTCTGAACTAAGTAATTAAGCATAAATGAGCACTAAGCCATTGTGGATGTCAACTGGTAAAATCTAAGCCAAGTTGTGCAATGCTTGAGCTTGAAGAAAAAAAAACGTAAAATAGCCAATCGTTAATGAGAGAAGAAAAAAATCTAGAATGTTAATTCCATACCACGCTGCACGCACTTCCATGAGTTGGGTAACATAACTTAACAAAGAATAACACGCGCTTGGCTTAGATTTCACTAAAAGTATGTAAAACGTGTGAAAGAAAATCTGATTTTTTTTTCTCAAAAACGACATTGCACGAGACTTGAGCGAAGGTCCAAAGCGTTTATTATCTAAGTACGTATGTAGTTTTTTTTTTTTTTGTAGGCCTTATCTTTTGTTTTATGTACAACTGAGTATGTATGTATCTATGTATGTATGTTGGTGATTCGCCCGCTTGAGAATTACATTGAACTCGACGACTAAAGTGTTAATTTTTCTTTTTTTTTTTTGAATGGCAATCAAACAACGGAGGCTGTTTTCAAGCGCGGTTGCATATAATTTAGAAATCTTTAAATAAGTTACCTTGTAAGGGGCCATTCAGGGTTAATCTCTTAACCCAAAGCGACAGTAGTTTTTGCATAGCAGCTTTGGCCCAACTAGCGTCGCGTATTGTACCGTTTTTCTTAGCACTGTGTTTTTGTTTTGTATTGGCAATGGCAATGAAACTTAGCTTGGCATGTCATTTTATTTTTAGCTACAAAAACTATAAGCTAAATGGCATTTCAAATGCGTTTAGTGCTCTTATTAGCATTGAATTGCAAAGTTATTTCTTTGTGCTGGCATATTTGTTTTTAGACATTTTCATTAAACGTGACAATTAATGTTGGCGGCGTGTTATTGTTTTTATGCATTTACCCTTTTATACCTGCTATGCAGGGACTGTTAAAGGCGACTGCACGTAGTGTTGACACGTGAGCGCACGCGTGCATTCAATAACAACAACAGTAGGAGATGGGTGGTCAAGCGACAAGCGAAAAGAAATTATTCAAGAAATTGCAACAGAAAGGCGATGTAGTTTATGCAAAGAGATTATTTGAGAATATGAAATTGAATACGAACTTTAAGATGATTACGAATACGAAGATGATTACGAATACGAAGATGATTACGAATACGAAGATGATTACGAAGATGAAGATGATGACAAATACGAAGATGATTATGAATACGAAGATGATTATGAATACGAAGATGATTACGAATGCGAAGATGATTACGAATGCGAAGATGTTACGAATGCGAAGATGATTACGAATGCGAAGATGATTACGAATGCGAAGATGATTAAGAATACAAAGACGATTACGAATTCAAAGACGACTACAAATACGAGTATTATAACGAATACGAATGATAAAGCGGCGGCAACGGCGAATACGATGATGAATACAAAGATAAACATGAAAGGCAAATGGATTTTATGAGGAGCTTTTTCGTTATTATTAAGCTCAGTACGATATTAATACTACACCCGGTGTCAAAATTATAAGCGCACACCTTATATGGGCAAATTTTTACAATTTATTTTTTTTTGTTATTTACTTTTAATTATTTTTTTTTTATAAAAAGATAGTTTGAGATGATAAAGATTCATAAATTTCTCCAAAATCGGTGCATTTATTGCCTTGGTACATAATTAAGCATAAACGAAAAAAGTTTGCACCCACAAGGTCTTTTACATGTTGATTGTGTTTCCGACAGGGTAGGAGTACGAAAAATGACACTGAAACCGGCACAATGCCGAAACCGGTTTGTCTCCAAACCAAATTTGACAAGCGATGACAGAAAATCGGTTCACAATACATCTTTACATGTATTTTTTTTAATTAATTTTTTATTTTTGAAAACTTCAGTTCTTAATTTTTCTGCATTTTAATTTTTTTTACATTTAATTTTTTTATTATGTAGATAATTTTGATTTATTCATTTTCTATTTATATGTAACTCTTATCTTATTTACTTTCTCAAGCAGCAGAAAAAAAATTTAAAAATGTTTTATGATTTTTCTGAAGAGCTACATAGAAACTATGCTTAAACCTAAAATTTCTTGTAATCCATGGGACAAGTTTCATCGTGAATGCCATTCCCATGAGTAGCAGCCTAGCCCAGTTGACTTTTATATCAACAGTAGACAAGCACGCCAGAGCATAAATTCAATATCGACCTATCTAGAACATATCTAAATATTTATCGAACCTAATGCATCAAAGTAGAGCACAGTAGAATGAACGAACGGCTTAGGCTGTCGGCTGTCCTTCCTTGTCAATTGGCGTCCTTCACCTCAGACATCCATTTTAATTATCGCTGATGCCGATTGAGTGTGAATGACTAACTGTCTATTAACCGACTAAGCGAATGAATAAAAGCAACAGATCAACAGCTAAGACAACAAAAGTACATATACAAACATAGCTATATACATACATATGTAGATAGATAGTAGGTAGCGGTGGGGCTGAAAATAAGTCGAGGTGTGGCGCAAAACGCCGCAGAGGTTGCAAGCGAACGAGCAGCAGCAAGCAGCGTGAACGCTTACTTGATGAGGCCAACGCAGTACTAAAAATCACTTCAAGTTCGTGCTCGATATTCTAATTAAGTCAGCGGCGCTTGAGTTACTTACAGACGCAGCACTTAACTCAGATGAGACGAGCTGAAAAGCTCAAGCGATGAGTACCTCTACTCGTACAAATTGCCCCAAATAATCATCATAATCATTACTACAAATACATGCATACATGTACAGAGATGCATTTAGGTACATACATAAATACATTTTTTAATTTCCATAAAATTGTACATTAAACTTTTATTATTATTAGATGGCAAAAGCAACAACAAAAGCATAGACACACACAGACAAACATACATATGTACACTTGGGAACAATGCCACTGACAGTTTGTCAAGTGCCCATGAATGCCAATGACAACAACGAAAACAACAACAATTGTACATTATGGAAAATATAACAGCTGTGGCAAAAGCAATGCGGACAGCGTTTTTTGATGTCAACGTCGCGATTACTACACATTGTTGGTGTGATTAGTGCCATAGTGGGACAAATTGTGTCATTGTTATCGGCAACTGCTCACCCGCTCCCGCGGCTGCGGCTGCCTCAGAGACAGCGTGATATTAATAACACGCTTGAAATCGAAATTGAAATGAAATCATGTCATCATCGGCAGCTTTGTTTTTTTTTTACTTTTTTGTTAGGTCTTCTTGCGATAAGTTACCCATTTACATCCATTAACCATTTAAGGGAAACCATTTTTTATTAGTTTTATCTTTGCTTGTGTTTGATTAAAATTTAGGTAGAGGTTTCGCTATCTATCTAAAAGCATATGAAACGCTTATAAAAACAACCANACAACGAAAACAACAACAATTGTACATTATGGAAAATATAACAGCTGTGGCAAAAGCAATGCGGACAGCGTTTTTTGATGTCAACGTCGCGATTACTACACATTGTTGGTGTGATTAGTGCCATAGTGGGACAAATTGTGTCATTGTTATCGGCAACTGCTCACCCGCTCCCGCGGCTGCGGCTGCCTCAGAGACAGCGTGATATTAATAACACGCTTGAAATCGAAATTGAAATGAAATCATGTCATCATCGGCAGCTTTGTTTTTTTTTTACTTTTTTGTTAGGTCTTCTTGCGATAAGTTACCCATTTACATCCATTAACCATTTAAGGGAAACCATTTTTTATTAGTTTTATCTTTGCTTGTGTTTGATTAAAATTTAGGTAGAGGTTTCGCTATCTATCTAAAAGCATATGAAACGCTTATAAAAAAAAAAAAAAACAACTGCTGATATCGCCAATGTCGCTACAATAAAATGTGGGTGCCGCATGTTGAGAAGCGATAGAGCATGTGAGGGGCAATAAACTGGCAAAACAGTAGCAACAGCGGCAGCTTAAGTTCGGATACAAAGTCACCAGCGTACGATGTTACTTTTTGAACAAGAAGCGCATATATCAGCAGCGAGGAACAGTGGGTCGAAATTCAAAATATGGCACATACAATATTTATAAAGCAAATTTAAAAAATAATAAAAAATAAAAAATAAAAAATAAAAGATAAAAGATATACCACATAAAATACGATAAAAGATAAAATAAAAATAAAAATAAAAACTAAAATAAAAATAAAAACAAAAATAAAAATAAAAAACAAAATAANAATAAAAATAAAAAATAAAAGATGTACCACATAAAATACGATAAAAGATAAAATAAAAATAAAAATAAAAATAAAAACAAAAATAAAAATAAAAACAAAAATAAAAATAAAAACCAAAATAAGAATAAAATAAAAATATGAATACAATTAAAATAAAAATTAATTTTAAAATAAAATTCGAATGAAAAATAAATGAATCAAAGAAAATAAAATTAAAAATTAAAAAGAAATAAAAAATTAAAATTAAAATAAAATTAAAAATTCAAATAAAATAAAAATATTCAAATAAAATAAAAAATTAAAATAAAATTAAAAATTAAAAAGAAATAAAAAATTAAAATTAAAATAAAATAAAAAATTCAAATAAAATAAATAATTCAAATAAAATAAAAAATTAAAATAAAATAAAAAATTAGAATGAAAGAAAAAATTAAAATAAAATAAAAAATCAATAGAAACCAAAATATAAATAATAATGGAAGACAGATTAAAATTAATAAAAAAAAATATTCAGCTTTATCATGAATATTGTGGTGAAAAATTTCACCAGCGAAAACTTTCGTTCACCCGAAATGATTTACTTTATCACGGAAGTGGAACGTTTCCGGGTGAACGGCGTTTCATATAGAAATTTCGAAGCTGAAATAACAGCTGCCAAAGCCAGTAAATAAAATGTCAGTAAACAAACAGTTTCAAAAGTACATACTTGTATTAGTTTTGCGGTTTTATCTGTGCAAGTTTTGTAATATATTTTTTATTTTTTTATTTTATTTATTGCCTTTTTTGTTTTTTATATTTGTGGTTTTCTCATACAATGTTTTTATTTATTTATATTTATATATGTATATTTTATTTATAAACTATTTTTATTTTACTTTCTATTTATTTTTGGCAAACTTTACTTTTATATTTATTACTGTTATCTTATCTTTACTTTCAATAGTTTTTTTTTCTTGTTATTAACTTTTTTATTTAAAACTTTTTAAACTTTTACTTTTCATTTATTTTTTATTTAAATTTTCATTTATTCCATTCTTTTTATTTTACTTTTAATTTTTTTTTTTTTCATTTTACTTTTTATTTATCTTCCTTTACTTTTCTTTGCGAGTAAAGTAAAGTAAATTTTAAATTTTACTTTTTATTAATTTTAATTAATTGAACTTTTCATTAATTTTGTATTTAAATTATCATTTACTTTATTTTTATATTTTACTTTTTTTATATTTTTTTATTTTTTTTTTACTTATTTTTTTGTATGTAAATTTTTTATTTTAATTTTTTTTTAATTTTCTTACATTATATTTATTCATTTTTTCCTTTATTTTATTTTTTTTTCTTATTTTAATTTTATGATGCGATAGGCAATCGTTAAGCGTATTATCTGCGATGATTTGCCTATCGCATCGCATTGCTCTTTCGTATCGCATTGCAGAGTAGCCCCCTGGCCACTGAGAACATTTTAGCCCCCAACTTTTATTTTTTATGAACTTACATGGGACCCACGGTAAAAATAATTGTGATGAGATAGAGAAAAACCTGTCTGATTTTGAGGCCCTAAAACCAAATCTTAAAATAGTTTCGCAT